TAGGGGACTGTTCCTCGGCTCTTTCTGCCTTCCTTTGACGGTGCGAGCCATTCATTATTTTCCCTGTAGGTAATGAGCACAATGGTGGTTGGGGGGTTGGGTCTGGGCCCGGTGGAGCCTTCCTGAGCCTACAAAATGTGAGCTGGAGAACAGGAATACGGAAAAAAGGCAGTGCCCCTGTCCTTGTGGGCACCTTCGACCGTGGTTTAATGGTTGTGTGCTCTACTCAAAGGCTTCCCAAGATAACTTGGGATTTATTTTTAGCAGGTATTTTATGGAAAAGATAAATTGATGGTTTTTGATGACTGGAATTAAGTTCTGTGTAGCCTGGAAATATGGATAAAATTCTAATGTTTTGCTACTTTTACTAGTAGAAAAATGTGTGAATAGAGAGAATATGTGCTTCATACTTAAAATTGCCTTCAGCAATTGGTAATTTGGTATGGTGTGCTTCTCTTTGTCAAAAACCTTATTAACACTTTAAAGTATCTCTCAAAGAAAACAGGAGTAGCAGCTTATTTTTAAAACGAGGAATTGTTGTACCAGCTAGATTATTTGCATTTTGTCTTTCAAAAGGAACTTACAGTTTTGTGTTAAGGAACCGGAAGGTGTCAGATCATCCATTTTAAATGCAACTGTTCTTTCTAACAAGTTTTTCTTTCCTGCCCAGCAAACCCAACTGTATAAATGTAAGCACACTTTAACAGTATTTTCACCTAAGCTTAATTTAGTAAAATGGTCTTTATGAGATGGGGCAAATGTGTACTTCTCACACAGTGTTGAGAATTATTGGAAATCTGTAAAGAACACTTGGGAAGTGAAATATTTTTGTGGATAAGTTTAGCTATTTAAAAGAGCTATTCGCCTTCTTGCTTTTTAAAAGAGAAACAGCTCTCAAGAAAAATATGCATTCCTTTTAGCTTCTATGGCATTCAAAATGTCAGAATAAAAATTAATGAATTTATTTTTTGTAATACTTCATTCGTGTAACCAAAGCCTAGTTGGAGAAATGTTTTTATGCGTAATGTTAGCTTTTTTGAAATCACTTTAAAAGAGTCTGATCATAGAACAGTAATTTTTCATAACAACAAATTGATCAGCTTGCTACCAAGTTGTACTGTTTTTCTGGATTAACTGTATTTGGTTTTTTAAAAATGAGACCTAACGAAATAACTTCTTTAAAAACATGGGATAAATTATTCATTTTTCTATAAATATTAGCCCATGGTTTTCTATCATTGTCAAACAAATCTTAACAGCTGGACTCTAAACCAAGTGTGTGGCGTTTTAATGAATATGTTCCTGGGCTCCTGTGAATTTAATGTGTTATTATTGTAACAAACTGGATACTCTGTCTAGGACCTTAACACTCCATTAATAAAGTTGAGACATAAAAAAGGGAGGTGGATATAGCCCACTTCCAATCTTCTAAGCATTTGGGAGGTAAGTATATACTTCATGGCAAAATTAAAAACCAAAATACAAGAAGCTAGCTAATTGGTAATTTGCTTTTCGAGCACACACACACAAAAAAAAACCTTTGAATTTTCTAGAACCAATATGAAGTCGGTGTAACTCTTCAAGTTCGTAAATTGTGTCGATGCTTTAACTCACATTGGATGCAGACAACTCCAGATTCTTCAGCAATTGTAGCTCCCTAATTAATATTAACTCCACGGAGGAAGATTCCCCACCCATCTGTTTACCCAGTCGACAGCTGCATCTCTTCTACTGACCTGAAAAAGTTAAAAATGTTGGATATGCCTGGAAGGTTCGTTACGGTTGCTGTATCCACAGGTTGTGAGCTGAGGCTAGGTAGGCAGAGCCGAGGGCTGCGGCCCTGGGGCTCCCCTGCCCCGGCCTGACGCCCTCACGCCGATGGGCACCTTTCTTGGCGAGAACCGCTCCCCTGAGCCCTGTTGAAGCAGTGGCGCGATCAGGGACCTAACCGCTCCCGCTCCAGAATCTGTCACTCCCCTCTGTATTAAACATGGTGTCCGGGAGCTGAGAAGAAGAGGTGGCTGCTTTCCCTTCTCCAGCTCTGCGCAAAGA